CCTTATTCTTTTTGCCAAGTTGATTTTCAACTTCACTCTTATAATGCATAAATTTTTCTAATACTTCATTTTTCTCCTTAGTAAATATGCATAATAATATCTTGTACAATCATCAATAAAAGTAACAATACTTTTTTTTCACCTTTAGTTTAAACATATTTCAAATCACATGCATCACTATGAATTAATTCTAGAGGTTCACTATTTTTTTTAATATTATAAAATGATGCTCTAGTTAGTTTAGATTCAATACATGTCTCACATTTATGATTTGCATCAATATTGATTTTTGGACAATAATTCTAAATTTATTAATTTACGCAAAGTAGCCAAATTAACATGTCACAGTTTATTATGCCCAATATTAGAAGATTCAAGCATATAAGCAGAAGATATGTTCTTATTATTATTAAAATTAAATACAATTATCATTACATTCATCTTAAAGAGCTCATTGCTCATATATTCCTTATCTACATAAATTTTACTCTTGGTGAGTACAAATTTTTCATACTCAAAAAAATTAACCTAAAACCCTTCTTACTCAATAATGATCCAGATACAAGATTCTTTTGAATTTCTAAAACATATAACATATTATTGAGAGTAAGTTCTTTCCCGGAAGTAATCTTCAATATAACATTTTATTTTCCTTCAATTTTGAAAGTAGAGGAATTTTACATGAATAGTTGTTCTCCATGATTAATTGATTCATATGAAAAAACATCTTCATATCTGAGCATATGTGTCTAGTGGCTCCGATTTTCACCCGTCATTCCTCTATATTTTTCACCAAATTTATTTTGGATAGTACGGTAGAAAAACTCATATTAAAAACATTTTCAAAAAATTTTTTACCTCGGTTATATTAGCTAGGGCAATTTTTTTCTTAGTTCTCTTGTGCTTTGTAGCTTCGGCAATCCCGATTTGTTACACACAAAGCAGTTGCCTTTGAACATTTTGGAATCACCACCCTTGGCCCCTTGTTTGGCAATATGCTTCTTTTTTTTTCTTGTTGGTTTTGTATCCCTCTTCAATCACATATGTTTTTGACTTCATGGAATTATTACCAACTTTCTTTTCAGAGGCTCTATTTTTCTTCTCAATCCTCAATTGCATGATCAAGTCCTCAAAGTTTCATTTATTTACCAATGTGCTTCAAATAATTTTTGAAATCTTTCCAATGTGGCGATAATTTCTGAATAATTACACCCACTTGGAAAGATTCACTAAACACAATCTATTCGGTATGAATCTCATGTAGGATCACTTGAAAATCTTAAACTTGACTTATAATAGTCTTGAAATCTACTATTTTGTAGTCAAGGAATGTACCCACAACAAATTTCTTCAATCCAACATCTTATACTTTTTTTCCAATGATTTCCAAAAATCCTTAGCCATCTTGATTGGACTATACACATTATATAATGTATTATTCAATCCATTGAGGATATAGTTCATAAACAAAAAAATTAGAGTGCTTCCATGCATCCACAGCAACAACAACTTGATAATCAGTCTCATTCTCACTAGAAACTAGAGTATCCTCACGAAGAAATTTTGTAAGATTCAACATTGTGAGATAGAAGGAGTATTTTATGTTGTCATCCCTTGAAATCATTCCTATTGAACTTTTCAGACTTTTCTCCATGGGACACATGAGTAGGTACAGAAATTAGCACCACATAAATAGTTGTAGAGACATTGTACTCATTTGAAGCCATTTTTGATAAAAAAAAAAATTATCAAATATTCAAAACAGAAAAACAGTATCACTTTACAAAACACGTTACTAAAATAGAGACAATCTATGTTACTGTTCAATGTCACCATATAAAATTATTATTTCAATGTTATTGTTTAGTGTCACTGTTTAGTATAACTGTTTAAATTATACCCAGAGTCACTATTTAAATTAAACACATAATCAGAACATACAATTTTTCACAAAAATTTCCAAGTATCCCAAAATATTACTTATTGTAAAAAACTAGTTTTAACAATTTGTAATATTTTAAACTAGTTCAAAATTCTAATAGCATGGATTGTTATTTGTAGTTTTTCAATGGAGCAAAATTACTTATTGAAATATCTAATTTATATCATGCAATTTAGAATAAAACAATAGTGAAGAATGAGACAACTACAAGTATAAAAGAAACAATTACACAAAACTGTAATTAAACCAAAGTATAAACTAACCCGTTTGTAAATAGGAACTGTTATTGAACTTTTTACAGATCAAGGCTAGTATTTGACACTGTATTTTTAAGACAGATTTCGAACCCACATTTGGTGCTTATGAAAATCAAAGCATCTGCCTCTAGAATGCAACGGTCTTCGCGCGAATAAAAATAGTACTCCAATCTAACTCGTCCAATGAATCAGAAATTATGTTGTATACTCTCTAATATACAAACTGTCTGAATACCAAAAATTGAATGATGCAAAATGGCAATGAGTCTGTGTTTATATAGACAAACTAATGACTATTCCGAAAAACCACCATGAGAACAGACACTACCCAGAAGACACATGCAACCCAAAAGACACCATTGAAGTCTGCCCATTGGGAACAAACACGAATTCAAAATTTCAGATTTGATGGAAAATTAAATTCGAATAGATGCGAAATTTGAATTCCAACAGGCACCAAAAATTAAATTCCAGATTAAGAAATTCATACCCAATTCACTAAACGAATTTTTTCAAAAAAAAATAAGAATGGGTCACACCCACACCCACGCCGGGTCGAGTCGTGGTGAGGTGGGCGGCGTGCTTGTGTGGTGAAACGATGGCATATAGACGCTCGCTCCACTTATAAAAGTGTGGTACCCCTTGGGGCCTAACCCATTGAGCAAACTTGACATATATATGTGCAAGTACAATTTCTTCCTCAACCAATGCGAAATTAGTATCAAATCTCAAATTGCATAACCTCTATTTTCACAATTCAAATGAGTCATTTTTGAGGTTATTTTCTCATTTATTTTTTATTCGATTTAAGCAAGTAAATATATTATATTATTTGCCTCACAGAATAGAGAACGAACCCACAAAAGTTTACTCAAAAAAAAAATCAATTTTTATTTTAATTTAGGCTCAAAATTAACAAAAAATTTAGTTTTTTCACTTAAAAACATGTTTTGGTCCAACAGTAAATTGTATCACTATTCCTTATTTGATGGTGAAAACTGTGCTACATCACTTGGGATTGAAAACATAGTAAAATATTTGGGTCAAAACAACATTGTTAAATATCAAAATAAATAAGTACATGAAGCCCACAAAAATTAATAACTAACCCTCCATGTGAGCAAATAACTACACACTCTTCCTCCAATTAAGCAAATAACTACCTAAGTGGGGTTCATATTGCCCACTTGATTTTTTTATTAATTGGGGATACCACATGATCATTACTCATATGATGATACTGCTGCATTGAATATTTTCTCGTATATTGAATACATAAGTCATGTTTTGTACGGATTGAAGGTTGGATCGTGATAGTCAACAAGATGATGTATTGTCAATCTAACTGATCCATGGAAGCCGGACTAAGTTGGGGTGAAATGACAAATCTATATCTGGTCTCGCATGATGGGGGATATAATTTGAGTCCACTCATGTGATATTCGTCGATTGAGCTTTCATTTGAGCAACTTGTTCTATCGCAGTTTGATTTGGTTCCTATATTCCTTTTAGTATATTAATTCTTATTATATTGTATACTTTTCCATTAAGTTTGTTTCTGAAGTTGATTTGGGAGAGAAAACGAAATTTGGACATTGGAAGAATTGGAGATTTGCAAGTTTGGTTTAAATCTTGTAATAGTCAATTGGGAGAGTTATTCATATTTTCATAGACTCGATTAGTAAATTTTAATTTGCAGAGCTCTAACATGTACATTTGAAGATATGGTTATGGAATATTATGAATATTTTACCATATAACAAATTCAAAAAATTGAGAAGTATGGTTGTTATCAATCCACTATTCACTACATTTCATCCAATAAAATAGAAGAATTAAAAATCTGTACCCCCCCCCCCCTCCCCCAACCCCACCCCACCCCACCCCAAAACAACAACAAAGGAGTTACTTTACAATATTCCAAATTCAATAATTTCAATAAACTCCCAACAGTAGTCCGTCTTGGGCCAAATCTAGAAGCATTCTCGACAGTTTGTGTAGCCATACCGTCTACAATGCAAACCTACTCCAAATTGATTTTCCTATCACTGTTGGCAGCTCCATGCAATTTATAATGCTCTTCGACCCTCTAGATTCCTATTATAACATGTACCCCTCTAGTACTCCCACAAATTATTAGACTAAATATTATATCTCCAAATTAATCTAGTATAACCTGATTAAAAAGCATTGGAATTCCTCAATTTCAAGACTCCAAACCAACCATCTAAAAGGCACTCATGCCAACTCTTCCTATAAATCCCAGTGTCCTTTTACAACAATCTTTCCTCAAGTCAAACTGAAGTCTGTCCATTCACTAGTAAAATTATTTGTAAGTTTGAAGCCAAGCCCGATGGTGAGTTCAAGATGCTGAACAAAAAAGTTTAATTTCAGAGAAATGTCATCATCATGGATTTGTACAAGCACTAGAAAAATTACATTAATCCATTGAGATATCGTATGCTATATGCAAATACTTGCCACAAGAAATGAATCCCAAATTTAGGATAACCATATATAGGAAGAAAAAAAAATCCTACAAAACCATATATAGGAAAAATGATTATTTTTTGACATCTGAAATTTTGACTAAATACTTCGTCTTCCAATTTTGTAAATAATGCCAAATTATGCGAGGGGAAGAAAAGAGAAAAGAAATACATCACATCCTCACAAAAAGAAATATAAAAACTGACTCGACTTCAACAAAAACTGAAATTTTACTGAATTAAGTTAAATGCCTTCCATCTTGAAGAGCAAGGGCAAGCAATATAATTAGAAGCTTTGAGATAGTACAGTAGTTATGATGAGAGTTTCAAGCTTCTTAAGGTGGAGCTAAGCAGAGAAAGTTTGCTGGGAGCTCTTTTCTTGTAATCTTTCTCCAAGGCTGCCGCCACCAGATGCTGCAGCTCTGGGCTGTCCTTGTCCTCCTTGTTCCGCCCTTTTGTCAGTTGTCCAACAGCAGATGTGCACTAAATTCATAAACATAGATCAGTTTGTACAGCTTGATAGTTTATAATCGGAGAAAATGGAAAAAGTACAAACTTTTACACTGCTCAGAAATAGAACAATAAATCTGATGGGTGAGATTTAAAAATTCACAGGGACAATCCCGTCAATAGCTATCTCAACCGCTTGGTGCCACTCATCCTACACAGAGTGCGTGCAAGCGCACACGTACACACACACACACGAGAGATGGTCTTACCAAGCATATACCCAAAAGTGCTCTGGTATTCTTGCCACCCGTTAAGTCTATGGTAGAAGCATAATATTTCTTGGCTGCCTGAATGTTTTCTAGTCCACCAAGTGTGTAAAGCACCTGTTTGAGCCAAAAAAAAAAAAAGCAGCAGGATTCCATCAAATGGTTGGCATCACAATGTGTGCAAATGAAAAGAAACTCTGCAATTACAATAACTGACATTTATATCATATCAGAACTAAGTTTTTTTCATAATAATAGGAGATCATAAAATAAGTTTTTTTCGTAATAATAGGAGATCATAAAATGCAAGGAAATTAGAGCACCACTAACCTTTGGCAATATTGTGGTAGTTCAGGAGGAGTGTGCTGAAAAAGGTTTTTTTCATTCTTGAAGTTATTACCCCTTATGAAATCTACAAATTAATCTCAAGTAGCATCAAAGTTTACCATTACCAGTACACAAACAACACAGGTACCAGAGTCACCATGTTAATCTCTCAATCAGTGCAGTAGAAAACTCATTTGAGGTGTACCGGATGATAAGCAAATATTTTCTTTAAATAACTACCCTATGTTCACAAATAGACAAGATATAAGGTTGATATCTCATGTATCAACCAGTTTTGACATGAAATCACACCTGAGGTACCAGTTCCTCTTTTTTCTTCTATCATACGGACCTAGGAAGCACGGACACTTCATTTTGAACAGAGTGTCAGTGTCAGACACATCTGGGACATGGACACGCTTCGAACACATTCTGACACGTTAAAATGAGTGTCCAATTTTTTTATTGTTAAATTTTTTTCAAGACACGTTGAGGACACGCGGCCGACATGCTCAGGACACATTAGGGACACATTTTGGGATTTCTTTTCAATTTTTTGAGAACTTTTCAAATAATTTTATAATCAAGAGTTATTTTTTTAATTTTAAAGGGATACAAGTCACAATCATATAATATAAAAGAAGTTATAATCATTCCATTGAACATAAGACATAAATGTGACATAATTTTGGATACGAATATGAACTTATATACAAATGAAATAAACTTTTAATATGAAAATAATGTGAGAAAAAATGATATTATAAAATTTGGACTCTTGAAAATTGATGAACATTGGAGTTAAGAAGTGGAATATTTTTTAAAATGAAAATTTTAGTAGTCATTGATTGTTGGATCATAGATGTTAATGTTGATTGCGTATTGTTACATCTTATATTGTACTTTTTATATAGTGATATCATTATATGAATTTTTAGAATTAGGAAAATGGTGAACTAAAGATTATTATGATAATATTTATTTGATCACATGATAATATATATGTATTATTTAACATATCGTCAACGTGTCTATGTCCTACTTTTTAGAAAAATTTCGTGTCGGCCTGTCCGTGTCCCGTATCAGCATCCGTGCTTCTTAGATCATACCTTATCATTAATAATTTGGAGAAATGACAAGATCATAGGATTCTCATATGTTTGTTCTACGTTATTGCAGCTCACAACCATAATGAGTTTCAGGTATGTTCCAAGAAAGCAGAGATTCAGGCATGACACCAATGTCAAAAGTGAATGATGCTACATCAAACAAACCAATTGACTGATTATCTGTGATAAGTTCACCCTATGAACCACAACTTATTCATCAAAATACTCTCACTTCCAATTTTCTAAAACCTGTTACATGACCTCTTTGAGCTGGGTAGCAGCAACATTCAGCTTGAGAGAAGTTCTACATAGAGGAGCCAAAATATCCCTTATGATTCACAACCAAATTAACTTATGAGGTAGTCACTGTGGGTTCTAAAATTCTGAATCCACCCAAAAAAAAACTGAGAGTTGATTCTTTTAATGATGGAAAACACAAGCCCTTTGGCAATGGTTAACCAAACAAAACCACCAAGAATAAAATTAAGAGCTTCAAGGCATCCAGCCAAAGATAGCATGCATATTATTCAAGACTCTTTTTTTGGCCAAATAAAAAAAGCAAAAGTCTGGTTTTAAAGAGAGTTCAGGACTAGATCTGCTCCCTGCCTCTTCTCACCCCCTTCTCACCTGAACTATCAAGTGATAGATAAGATGTAGGAAGGAAGGATTATCTATTAAAATGACATGAATTGAGGTGGAAGGCTCAATCCTAGAATTGAGATAGAAGGCTCATGTAAATCCACAACTTAAAATGATGTATGGCAGAATAGTTTTAGGTGGAAGGTTCATCAGACCAGGAGTGACCAGACCACGCTAAAAGTGGGAGCCTTGGGCACTGGGTACGAGAATAATTTTAGACTAATTTTTGTAAGATATAAGAAAATCATCAGAGCATATGCTTTAAAATGGACAAGTTTTCCATCCACCGTCTATGCTCTGTCAAATATGAAACAATCATGAAAAAGCACAACATTGCTTATTTCCTATGTGTTGGTCTCTCGATGAACTTCAGAGCCTCGAGCTACAATAATTCTGGTTGGAGCTCACAGGGAAATTAGATGAGAGAAAACGGGCTGCATGATCAGGATAGAAGATAGCGAGTGGTTATTGGTTCATACAACACAGGGGAGTTGTTCACGCGCCTCCATATATGGGGCCATTACAGACCCAAGAAACGCATGGCTTACTTTGAGGGAAGTGAAACCGGAGCGTAGGCAGAACCTGGCAGCCCATCCAGAGTTTGGCCTTCCCTAGTCCTGGAAAGAAATTCTTTCCTTCCCCCAGCAGGCAAGAAGACTGGGAGAAAGATGATCAGGATCTCACATATGGCAGCTGTTGGAACAAACTCTGAAGCCAAAAGCCTTTACTAAATTAAGAAAGGCGGCCCCAGAAAAGTTTTTCAAAAGACTTGACCCCCGAAGAGCTGACCCAAGCAAGGGCATTTAGGTAGCCATGCTAATAGGCTAGGTGTCACAACTCTTTTTTCGTTCATGCATGAGATGAGGCATTAAGCAATTTGTTTCAGGATCAGACTCAGAAGCTTCCTTGGAAACACTATTGATTAGGAAATTTCAACCTCAAACACTATCTCGAAGTTATGTCACTTTCTCCCCAATAGCATGCTGTGGTGAAGCCGAAGGACACCAACGGAAAGGCAAGTTATGCAAGATTATCTATGTGGATGCCCCTTCCAGAGATAAACAAATAGAGGAAAGGGGGAACCTCTTCATTAAGTATGTCTAAAAGTGCAATTGAACAAAAAAAATGAAGAATGAAGAGCATACATTGAGAAGCCACTTACATCAGCATAGGCTAGGTGATATAGTGGAATTGTCGGTTGAGATAAGATTAGCTCCTCATAGCAGAAAGCTGCTTGTTTGTACCTAATTATATGCAGGAAAAAGTTAATGAAAACCAAAGGAATAAAATAGGTAAGGCACTCTGAGATCAAGGAAGCGATCATATAATATCCCGAGTTCTTTCTAGCAACCAGCTGCAGTTCCCTAGTCCACCACAAGAAACAACGAAACGCGCATAGAGAGACAAGGAGAGGAAAAAGAAATTAACAAATTCTCACATTTGTAGGGAGACATATATTTCACAAAGTTCCCTCCAGGCATCATGATCTGCCATGAATCTGAAAAAAGACAATTCAACCTTGTAAGTTGTATGTTCCATTGTTACAATTATTACACAACCATGCTTTCGAAATCTTTCTCACGTTTCTAGATATTTATTCAGCCCTTCAATGGCCCCTGAAATATTGCCTTGCGCCTTCGCTAGAGCTGCCTTCCTCTTAAGAATTATCTGCATGATCAAATTAAATAATGGTTAGGTGTGAAATGAAATTCTCACTACTCGTGTCTTTTACTGTCAAAAAGAAACACCATTTAAATTTCACGAATGAGAAGTGGAATCAGTCCCAATAAAAATAAATGCAGTTTCATGTATCTTGTAATAAGGCAATTACTTGATCAAATGGATTATCCTCCAGAAGGCTTATATAAGCTTTTTCTGCCTCAGCCCAAGATCCTTTTGCTTCAACCAACATTGCTTCCAGCCTACCTGCAAAATACAAGCGAACACTATCAGATCATAGAAGATGCAAACTACTTCTAATGCAATTATCCGAATCCTTGGAAACTATCAAAGGACACAATAAGATGCAATGAATGACAGTTGATATTATGCGTGTTCACAACCACTGATTAAGCTCTCTGCTGGAATTTTAAATAAAGATCTAAATATATACAGGTAGAATAAAACTACAAGCACTCGTGGCCCAATACCATGTATATAATGCATGTCCAAGTTAACTGGATCAGGCCATAATCATCTGATAATCCAGGACAGAACAAAATCTCATCTGACGCATGGCCACAGAGAGCGGTGAAGGGTTGCGAAGGCGTCGCTGCTTTGAAAAAATTGTGTGAGACTTTAGAAGTCTTAGAGCAATGATGTCAGATTCAAAACTTAGCCATATGCCGATGTAAAAGCTAACACCCCATGCACTTACCCTTGTATACATGCTTGTAGTTTGTATCAAAGCCACTAAGAATAAATTAATCTAACAGATGAAAATAGCTAGGGTTTCTACCACTTATTGGAACTTAGAGCTTCACTTCACTAACTAAAAAGCATTACTGATTCCATGATATGCATCAATTAACATGGAAAATACAAATCATTTTTGGAAGTGAACCAATAAACTAACCAAAGATTAAAAGGAGAACTATTCCAAAAAGTTAGCGGTTGGATTCAGCGCACACATTTAGAGTACCCAGTTCATACTATTCACATTATACTTAAAGTAATGAAAATGATACTAGATCTTCTGAGAACGAAGAAGTTTTAAGAATTTAGACGGCAATCATTGCTTTTTGTTCGTCTATGATTAAGCATTAAGTAATTTTAGATAACGGTTTTCAACAATATATGATACATATGCACTAGAGAGAGATATAACAATAGGGAGGAGCAGGTTTGCTAGAAAAAGGAACAATAAAGCAAAAACAAAGAAAGACAAAAATCAAAACCCTTTTGCTTTTCCTTTTTGGGAAATTTTGTGTCTCTTCTTTGGGGAGGGGAAGCCTTTGGTTAGAACCCAAAACCGACTAGTGTAATTATTATGTTATGTGTTATTTCTAGCTTAAGGGTATTTTCGTACTTTGCAACTATATATGCAAGTTGGGATGTAGTTGTGTAAACTTGCACACTACTCTCTTCTCATATTTTTCTCCTCCACTCTTCTCCTTTTCTCCAAACCCTAACAACTTCATAATCTAACTTGGTATCAAAACTTTGGTCCAATCTAACATCTCAAAGTTGTAGAAATTTGTCGGAAATCATATATTACCGAGGTCATCGCCAAAGTCTGATGTACTGACATCAGATGGCTGACGTCAACCATGTCAAAAAAATTAGTAATAAAATGAATAGATTCGACTTTTCATGCCGAGAATTATGGCAATTTAAAATTTTTTGAAGCCAGCTGTCTATTTTTTAACGATTTTCCTATCTTTTGGTTTTCCACTAAGATCTGTCTTTTCTAAGAAATTCGGAGGCTGTTTTTGGGCCAACTCTACTCGATTTGGTGCGACTAGGGTTGATAAACAAAGCCTAGTTCTTTTTGTTGCATTTCGATTGGGTTGGTGCAATTTTTTTTCCCCAAATTCTTGTCGTCAGCAATGTTTCTTCACCGTTCAATGACCATTTTGGCCGCTGATTGCCCTACTGAGACTATATGGCTCTTGTTCTGTCTTTGGGTGTTGTACTAAGATTACTTAGCCCCTGTTGGAATGTTTTTCCAATTCTGGTTTGATTCTAGGGAGTGATTTATTGTGATTACTTGCTATTTTGTGTTGGTCCTACTATTTAAATATGTCGGAAAATAGTGCGAGATCTACCAATGTCGAGGTAAGTACCAGAATAATTGGGTTAACTACCTTTTGACAGTTTATTATGATTTTTGGAGTAAAGTGCAAGAGACTAATGAGAAAGATAAAACTCCTACAGTTAATTATGCAGAGTTGACTATCTTGTGATAGCAACTTGACTATTAATAGAGTTTTCAAGCTGCTTGTGCTAATGATGACAAAATTTCAACAGATGGTAGAAAAGGAATTAGTACATGACTTTCTTGTTGGTCTTAATATTGAGTATGATCAGATTCGGATTCAAATTTTGCATTGTAGTCCATTTCCTACTTTACAAGAGGCTTATGCCCACGTTCAGTAGCAAAAGAGCTAAAGGATTACTATGGTTTATGTTGTTCCTACTCAAGAACAATCTGCATTGGTTGTTATCCCTCCACGTGACTTGAGTTTAGCCTTACCTAAGTCTACTAAGATGAGTGACACTACCACTAAGGATACCTTAAAATGTGACTATTGTGGAAAGATTAGGCATACTAGGGAATTTTGTTGGAAACTAACTGCCCATCCTAAGCCAATGGGGTAATGTGCGATCCCATGCACACATGATTGAATCTTCAAAGACTCTATCTTAGTTTACTCCCGCTAATTTCTATCAAGACGAGTATAGAATATTAGGCATCCAATGGCTCAATTTGATGTTTCCTCTACTACAACTCAAATCCTTGAATTGTTCAATAATTCTTTTTCACTACTCCCTACTCATTATACCTTTTAGTAACTGAAATCGAAAAAAACGAATGGCAGTGGTAGAACGCATGGTGGTTTGTATCTCCTAAATGTTGAAGCTTCTCCCCAGTCTGTCAGTCAAGCTCTCTAGACAACTGGTGTTTCAACCCTTTTACCTCTTACATCAATGACATACATGTTTGGGGAATTCTCATTTAATGTCTTAGAACATATTTTTCCTAGTCTAGTGAAGTAATATAGTACACAATTTTTCATTTATGATGCTTGTGAATTTGACAAGCATAAATATTCATCTTATTCTAGTACTAATAATAAAAACATTGCACCTATCATTATTCATTCTGATGTGTAGGATTCTTCCCATTTGTCTATTTCTGATTATTCTTAGTTTGTTACCTTTACTACTTGTTTTTCTCGGCTTACTTGAGTTTACCTACTACTAAAGTTGAAATTTTCTCGTACTTTAGATCTTTTCATAAAATGATGAGCACCCAATTTGATGCTACAATTAAAATTCTTCAAAGTAATAATTGAACTGAGTATATTGATAGAGAATTTTGTTCTTACCTCATGAGAATGGCATTTTGTAGCAAACCACTTGTGTGAGTAGCCCTAAAAAAAATGATGTTGTTAAGCGAAAAAATCGCCATCTTCTTGAGATTTCTCATTCATTGATGATTACGATGAATGTTCCTTAGTTTTTTTATGAGGAAGCAGTTCATAAAGCCGTTTATCTTATTAATCGTCTACTTTCAAGTGTCCTTCAATTTAGGTCACCTATTGAGTGACATTGACTTTCCAAGTTTTCTTCCATTCCTTCTATTTCTTCCCATCTTCCTAAAGTTTTTAGGTGTATTTGTTTTATACATGATTACAAACCCTTAAAGGGCAAACATGATTGAAGGGCTCTGCGATGTGTCTTTGTTAATTACTATTCCACTCAAAAGGGATATAAATATTATCATCCACAATCTCATAAAATATATGTTAGCATGGATGTTACCTTTTGTGAATTTAAGTCCTTTTGTGCTAGCCAAACATCAAAATAGTATTTTGGAGAAAGAGATGATTTGTCAGGAGCGTCTTCTTCAACTGTCTATTTAGTGAAATGTTATCAAGGAAAGCAACAATTTATAGAAAAAACAGTGATACTAGTGATCCAAATGGCGTTCACCTTAACAAGGTTAATCTGAATAATAGTTTTCGATGTCAAAAAAGTTGAATTCGCTAACTCTAATTTCATCCTCCACTGATTTGTCAAGTAATAAACCTCTAGGTGTTTACTCATGTTATTGATAATCCAGTTCTTGATGACTCTAAATTTCCTATTGCAAACAAGAAGGGTGTTCGAGCTTTATATTCAACATCCTATTTTTAACTTTGTCTCTTATGATTCTTTGTCTCCATCTTATCATATTTTTGTTTCCTCCTTGTCTTCTATGTCTATTCGTTAGTATTGGAAGGAGGCTATCACTAATCCTAAGTGGAAAGAAGCTTGGTATAGGAACTGAAAACCTTGAAAAAAAATATATACATAGGATTCAGTTCCTATTCCTCCCGAAGCAAAGGCAATAGGTTGCAGATGGGTGTTGACTGTCAAACAACAAGTTGATGGGACTGTTGAGAGGTACAAAGTTAGGCTGGTATGGTATTAACTTCATACGTGATCTTATATTTTGTGCAACTAATTTGGGGTGGAATTTGTAGCAGGTGAAAGTAAAGAATGTCTTTCTTCACGAAGTTTTGGAGGAGTATATGGAGATTCCTTTAGGTTTTTCATTCAAATAACTAAATAAAAGTCGTGTAGGTTGAAGAAATCACTTTATGGGTTGAAGCAATCCCCCAAATCTTGGTTTGATAGGTCCCTTCAACTTATGCTAAAATTTGAATATAAACAGAATCTTGTTAATCATACTATGTTCATTAGACGGGTTGATGACAAGATTAAGATACTCGTTGCTTATGTGGATGAAATAGTGATAATAGAAATGATGATCTGAAGTCACCAAATTGAAGGCTTAGTTGAATAAGGACTTTGAAATAAAAGAATTGAGTCTATTGAGGGATTTCATTGAGATTGAGGTTGTCAGATCAAATAAATACATTTTAATCTCCTATAGAAAGTATGTTATTAACCTTCTTGAATAGACAGGGTTGTTAGGATGTGACCTACAGATTATCCTATTAAAGTCAACCATCGATTAAGTGGTGGTGTTGGTGAGATAGTAGGAAAAAAAAGAACACTAGAGGTTGGTGGGGAGATTAATATATCTCTCACATACTCTTGTCTAGATATTACTTATGCAACGGGTGTTATCAGTTCCAGGAAAAAGGAGTTTGTTCTCCAATAATGATTACTTGAAACTAAAAGTATTTAGTGATGTAAACTGGGCAGGTTCAGTGAATGGTAGAAAATCTACTTTAGGATATTGCACCCTAATTAAAGAAAATCTTGTCACATGGCGAAGCAAGAAGCACTAAGCGGAGGCTAGGTCTAGTGCGCAAGCCGAATACAGAACAATGACCCATGAAGTCTATGAGTTTATGTGGCTCCAAACATTATTGGGAGAATTGAGAATATATGATGACGGCCTTATCAGAATATACTATGACAACAAGACTACTACCAACATTGCTCATAATCCAGTTCAACATGACAAAACTAAATATGTTGAAATTGATTAGCACTTCATTCAAGAGAAGTTAAACAAATGTGTGATTTGTATACAATTTGTGAAATTAGAAAACCAGCTAGCCAATGTTCGCACAAAAGGGCTTAGTACCAAAGTTTTTCGCCCCATTGGTTGCAAATTAGGCATGAGGGATATTTATACACCAACTCAAGAGAAAATATTATGTTAGAGCATCTCCAAGAAAAGAGCTAAAGTACACAAAAATTTTAAAATCTAGCTATTTTACCCTAAAGTTTCAATCCAACAGCATATCTCCAAACCATCTAAAATAACATTTTGCTATACTTTATAATATTTTCTCTGTCCTCTTTTCCTTTCCTCCATTCTCTCTTTCTCCCAGTCACTATTTTTAAAGAAAAATAATACAAAAAGAATGAAAAATAATATTGAATGGAAGTAGTTAAAAATATAGAAAATCCGTTGGAATGTGTATTGAAAAAGCAAGTCATCAAAATAGAAAATGTTGTTTTTTGCGTAGCTAAACTAATTTTTATTGTTGGAGATGCTCGTATGAGTTATTTCTAGCTTAAAGGGTATTTTAGTACTTTGTGACTATATCTAAAAGTTGGGTGTAGTTGTGTAACATAACACTACTCTCTTCTCATATTTTTCCCTTCTCTCTTCTCCTCTTCTCCTATTCTCCAAACCCTAACAACTTCATAATCTAATTGTTACAAAACTGTCAAAGAAAGACCCCATGGAGGTGATGAACATCCTCACTAGAAAACAACTACATCCCACTGAACCACATTAAACCTAGTGTCAGGAAAAAGATATATCCAAAACCTATATGACTGGTGAAAAAAGTGATATTCTAACTCATATCCTCTAGACAATAGAGGAGTCCGCCTTGTACTTGTGTTTACATGTGCCACTGATGTCATTGCTCTCGTGTAAATTTCCAAACACATGCCCAGCTTTTAGGCAGCATCTTTAATCATGGAAATTGAAGTATTGAAGATGATTGATCAAAATATAGGCCGTGCTCAAGGATTTAGGCAATTTGGAACACGCACGTCAATAAGTAGGACAGTAAAGTAGGATGAATGTGTAGACCTGATATCAGAATCCAAATGCAATTACAAATACAAAACACAAAAGTGAAATTAAAGCAAAGGGATATCCCAGCCCATATCTAAGTTCTAATTGGGTCTCTGATCATATTTGCTGGACATCAAGTTCAATAGTAATGATCAACCTCACTATACGGAGGTTATCTGAGATTAGCTTACAAGGAAGCTACCAAGCTCAATCCAAAACCCTATCTGATCCATTGATAACCCATCAGCCAATATTGTCACAATTAACGTTGCATATTGCAATACCATAAAAATAGATTAACAAATAGAGCCAATTCACACATTAGAATGTATCAAACTTTGGCAACAACAGTTGTCTTGCAATTAAACTCAAAATTAAGGATTTACAAATGAGGAGTTATTTCAATCCCCGCTAAATCAGTTTGTACTAAATCAACTTTTAAGCATTTAAGTATATCTCAATGTTCTCAAATTGCAGGACATCAATTCTTTTCCACTATGGCTGATATCCTAGATCCGAGCATTAGTTTTGGAAATATTTAATCTTTACATCTAGTTAACTGTTGCAGGTACTGGAGCACCACATTGTTTTCTAAACTGATTGATATAGATTATGTTTGTAGATTAGTGGCATTGACGCCAAAATATAGCTCATTGTTTGTCTGTCAATTTTTATGAGAAGGATAGCTAATACTCCAGGTCAACTCTAAATCCACATCAACAGTCACTCTACAAAAAGAAGACAAGTCAATCTTGTGTAGGCTATCTTTTCAAACACACAAACATGCAGACACGTATAATTAGCCACGAGTGGTCAAATCTCCAACCTTTTTTATTCCAAAAAAAATAGTTCAACTTACCAACCCTTTTGCTCTCTGGAAACTTTTGCACTAAGATCTTTATGCAGTCCTACAAATGTGCCATAGATAAATTGCATCAGATTCAAGTTCAACAGATAGAATACCAAACATCATAACTGCCAGTGCACAAACTAAGCACAAGTAAATGCCTTGAAAGGATTTGCAATTCAAGGAATAATAAAAGCAACCACCCAACACACTGTTTCCATATAAGGTGTCCACCAAAACAAAATAATTAGGTCAGACGAGTTAAGCAGTTGATTGCTTTTGCAAAACCAAATTTAGAAGAACTGAAAACTAACTTACAGGACTCACCTAGCTTGTTTCGAGGAATTGATGTAAACAGGTAACTAACTTTTGGGCTCATAAGTGTTGGATGCAACAGATTCTATAGTTTGCATCTTGGGGGAGTTTTTTCTTTTTCTTCTTTTTTTTCAGAGCTTTTGGGAGTGATGATTTTATAGGGCTTTGCATAGGCTGATTTTTGAATGTCTTTGTTTTTCCATTTCTCTGATGTCCATTTTAAATGCATGTGCACTATTTCAACCACTTAGTTCCCTTGTGTGAATTTTACTTACTTATTCAATACAAAAAAAAATAATGAGCAGCAAACCTAGTATACTATTATTCAAGCCCTATATTTACATCATCATGCTCATCAGTTATCACTCTATCCCACAATACACAATCTAGAAACAGAAGGAATATTAAAATGCTAAACTAAAAACACTGGTAAGGGAATTGTAACCAGAATGAAACAAACAGTCCAATTTCCAAGGCTATAGAAGAGGAGCGGGCGGACAGTTTCAATCGCCCAGCCGAGGGGCGGATTGAAGCAGAGTTTAACCACCCCATGACCTATTTTTCAAACAACAGATCAGACTAGGTAGTGACATTGTGCAGCTTTATCACCCACCTACTAAACACCCCCCCCCCCCCTTTTTTCTCTCTTCATCCATCCTCCCTTTATGTGAAAAGAGGCCTCTTTTTATCCAATAAGTAAGAAAAGAATCAATCTAGCCACTTGGTTCTCCAGTGCTCTCTCTCTCTTTTTCTTTTCTTTTTTCTTTTTTTTTTTTTTGTGCTTTTTACTTTCTTTCTTCTCACCAAAAATCCATTCTTCCTTCCTACATTATTCAATTTTAAAGCTGATTTTGGCTTACATGAATAGAAAATGGGAAGAACAACACGAAGTGTATCAGATACTGCACCTTTCTATCTTTTACAAAAATTTCTGCATTTACCCAGGCTTGCAGTTACCCTCTGTCAAGAACTTAAAAAATTAACACATTTGAACAACATCCATGAGCATAACATTCTATATCTACATCAGTTCAACAATTGTTCAAAATTGCAATGCACGGTTGCGTTGCTGTATCAATAATGTTGTACTCCAAAATATTCTCACTTTGTAAATTATGCAATGAGTCTGGATTTCTATATATTCTTTATTTTCCCTTTCTTCAAAGATTCAAAGCACATTCATGTTGGTTATTTCATGGTGTTCTGCTCAAAATGGGATATGGCAAACTTTGGGGTTTTCCTTTTCATAAGTTCTAGTATATCTATCCTTCTTTAATACTAAAAATAATACTAACGATGCTGTAAGATCATTATGTTTTAAATCTACTTGAGTTGACCATCGAATAACTTCATTTTAACCTGGTCTCTGTTGTAGTTCAATAAATGGTCTAGGTCTCCAAACATAGCCCACGGCCACCATTTTTTACCACAATTTTTTTTATGGAAAAACCAGGTGGTGTAAAAAAGCAACTATAAATGCAAAATCCAATGTTCCACACTGATGAGAGCATTGGATTCACAGGGATGAGTTTAGGGAAATCTGCTTATAATATGTAAAGTAGACAGCTATTTAAAGAAAAATCAAAAAACATCAAAATTGCCACAAGTATTGAAGATTATAATCAATAGCCATAATGTCGACCAACCTTAGATCTTTGACGAATCATCGTAAACAATGTTACCCACAGGATGCAGAGCAAAAAGATCTGAGTGTCTTAGAATTCTTATCCAATCAGAATGCATTTGTGAGGTTGCGACCGCATGAGTTGCAAACTCTTGAAAGTTTGAAGTCCCAAAGGGTTCTCAAATTATGTCATGGATAGTTTTAGCCTTTTATGTATTAATATGTGAAAAACTAGCTCTAAGTTTTAATCTGTGTTTGCCAATTCCGTAAGTCAAAATTGGCCAAGGTTTATAAGTAACTAAGCATACCAGTTAGGTTGATAAGTATGAATTCGAGACCTAGTGTATCTTAGATGGCTAAATTCAATTAAAATTGGCTTAGTTATCAAAAACACCCTAAGAGAAATCCCAAAAGATAATTATTTTTCAGATAACCTCACAACAGTTCGTGAGGTAGACATCAATCCAGCAAGGTGACTTCACTCATCAAACATAAGAATTAATTTGTGTTTAGCCTGGCCAAATGGAACTACAAAAATCTATATATACTAGCACTATATTCGCAAGTGAATACCAAAGCCGAAGTCAGTTGAAGATTGTTGAAGGCTCCATAAGCAGACTCAGCATACCAATGAGGTTGGTAAGTAAGAGTTTGACACCTAGTGTGCCTTAGATGGCTAAATTTGATTAAAATTGACTTAGTTATCAAACGCACCCTAAGAGAAATCCCGATAGATACTCATATTTCAAATAACCTCACAACAGATCGTGGGGTAGACATCAATGCAGCAAGGTGACTTCACTCATTAACAATTAATTCATTTTTAGCAGTGCCAAATGGAACTTCAAAAAACTGCATACAGAAAAAAAAATTATATGAATGTTCAATGTCCAATATGCAGCAATTCAAAATTAAATAATTCGATATTGGATTAATGCACTATAACTGTTACATCATAATACAAAACAAATAAGCTGGAAAGCATACCTAGAATGTATAACTAAGAAGATTAGATTTTTTACCTTTGCCACATCAATACATTGGCAGTCCATAGCTGCAATAGCTACCTGCTCATATAGTGTCCATTCTAAATCATTTGAAGCACAGAAAAAAAAAAATAAAGAAAAAAAGTTAATCTGACATCCTTTCCGATAGAAGGGGCTGTAAACAAAAATGTGCAGCTATCGCCATATATTTCAACATAAATGTTAAAACAACTTACAAATAATGCCACCAATCATCAACATTTTGGCATATTCAAGACAATGAAGAAAATGGAAAAGAAATTCAAACAATTATAAGAATTGAGGGCAGATTAGTTAAAGTAGAGGATACTACACGTCCCTTGCGCGATGGTGTGAGCCAAATGATAAGGTCGTGGCAATGTATGAGGCTACAGTTCTGGCAACCTCTATGGGCACGCACTTGTATAAACTATGAAAAACATTACACTACCTATTCATAAAAAACTCCAGATGTACATAAAGAAGTATGAGATAGAGAGATTGTGACAGTCTTGACTTGAAGATTGCTTTCAATTCTTAACTCCTATAGCAACTAATGGGAAAAAGAGTTAAAAGGGTGTAATCCAAAAGGAGAACACTATAATTTGAATACGTGACTTACCTCAAATACATATCAATTACAAAATGCAATGAAAAAAGCAAATGGAAAACAGTCGTTGTCAAACTAGGGTTCAAAGTATCGGCCGATACTGATACGAGTTGGTAGACCATTACACATTACGTATAAAACCCGAGTCTCACATGACTCATCCGAGTCGACTCTATCCCAATTCGCCGAGTTACCATCACTGAATTAGCCAATAAGATTCCGCGAGACCGCGTTATGGTTTCAATCTCTCTCCATGTTCAACTTCTTCTTCAAGGTCGTATCGTCCGATACCGCACCAAAACCCCTTCCGGTCGATGGCTATTACCACGACCTTGAACCATGTATCAAACTTAAAAGATTAAGTGTATCAAATTTCTAAGAGGGTGTATGTATTTTCTCCCATTATGGTATCACAAAGTCGTATCTCATGCATACACTGAAACAATACAATATAAAGTTCCATCATCAAATTCAGTAAAATGACATTTGGTGCAAGTCTTAAGATTCATGATTTTGATAAAATTGAGGAAGTGTGGTGAATAATATAATATCCATTTCATATAATTGTTGGCCTCATGAAAATTGTTGGGGCGTAACTCAAAGATGGATGGAATTACACAACGTAAGAGGTCATTAGTCACACATCTGAATTAGACACTTATCAATAGTGTGAAATTGATGGGATGACCACCACTTATCAAGATTCCAATAACCTTTTAATGCTCTTCCATGCCGCATTATGGAGGCATACATCTTGACAACTTCCATGTCAATCGGGTGACTTATCTTTTATTTGTTTCTTTCCAAGCGACCAATCTTGTTAACTTGGGGGATAGAACAAAGAAAAAAGAAAAATAAAAGAAGAGAAAAGGTTCCTTGCCATGCATTTGAATATAGTGATCTATCACACTTCAAATATAGAGCCATGGCACATCAAGATGGACTAATGAGTAAATCATAGTATAACATATCAAAGGGCTAACTCAGAGTATGTATGCCACCATGGTCTAAAAGTAAAGGTTCAAGAAGAAAGGGCTAATTATCAAAAGAAAGTTTTTCTACACAAAGATTTTCGTATAAAAATATATATCCACTTTGAGATACAAGCTCATCACTGCAAATGGATATAAAAATAAGTACAAGGTTCAATACGGAGTGTACCGGGAATAGTTTTGGGTCAATGGTGCAATGAGGAGCACTGTGTAAAGAAAGTGTTTTCAACTCGTCTCTTGACTTGCACAAAGTAAATTTTCATGACAGCCTGTTCATCAAGTGATCCTATGATCCTTTGGAATACAATAGAAACTAGGGATGCAACTTGGGGGGGACAATCCGAACCCAACTTGAAAAAACCAATGTTAGGGTTGAGGTTTTTAGGGTTAGCGTTAGGTTTGAAAAGCTTCAACCCGAATTGAATTCGGACATAGCTCAGGTTCACGAGTTTAACCCAAATCCAACCCGAATTGATGAAATCAAACTCAACCCGAATTCATGTATTATATTTATATAAATAATATAAAAATAAAATATAAATACATATTTTATAATTATTATTATTTAAATGGGGAATGAAACATGATTTATAAAGACTATACAGGGTGAAAGAAATTTATATAACCGATGTGGGATAAATAAAAAGGCAAAAGAAAGACAATTCAAATACCCTCTCCCTTCTCTCCTATATAAAGAATTCTCACTCTTATACTCTTAATAAGTTGTCTTGATGGGTTTCATCTTAATGGGTCATGTAGGCCTATGCAATAATCCAACATTATGCAAAGGCTCCCACTTAATTCAGGATTACTGTTTGTTGAGTCCAAATTTCCAACTCGAATTAGGCCTAAAAATTAGGGTTAGGATTAGGGTTGAAGATATTATTCCCAGAGCTGGGTTAGGGTTGATCTCTCAACCCGTCTAACCCGCCCAAGTTACACCCCTAATAGAAACCTTCCATATCATCAATCACTATTCTCTTGGTTAAGCAATATCTTTTTTTTAAAAAAAAAAATTGTGATTGGGTCATGAAAGTTACAACTGGCCTAGAGATAAATCCGTATGGAAGGCGATGTGATTATTAAGATCTACTCAGTCCCTGCAAAAAATTGGGCCAGCCTTCAAAGAATAATACTACTTGTGCACCATCACTTTCAATCAATGTCCCATGTGACGGGATCAGAGTAAAGGTTTTGACTCTGATTCCTACGCCATATTCTGAACCCCATCCATATGCAATACAAATTGTACAAAACGAAGTGTCTTGAAAATTCCCAGGACACCCTAAAGCAGCTGAACATCATAGTTTTTTACCATGCCAAACAGAAAAGGAATTAGTTTGCAGTTTAAAAAACGAACCCATAATAGGACTCATTTTACTACTCACGAATCCTAGAAAAGAAGAATAAAATCTATCTTTCATCAAATCCAACCACAATTAAGTAACATCAATCTCCAAAAAGGTCACAATTTACCCAATCCCATGCCAATTATGATCAAACTATAACATACTAACCAAAAACCCGACAATTAAATCGAGGATCTAACCAACCCAGCTCCACAACCACAAAGTTCTCTATTTTTTCATCATACCCAATTTAAATCAAGCATCCATGAACACGAATTAATCCATAAAATCAAAGAAATTTAATCTTTACCATCTGGGCCGAGAGCGGATCGCTTTTTTGGGTTGTTCAAGATTTCCAAACCGTGCTTCAAGACCTTATCTGATCGACGAAGCTTGAGTTTCCGTACGAGACAAAGGTACTCCCAAGCCCCTCCTCCTTCATTGTCCACTTGGTTCTCCAATCTATTCACTTGTTCTTCCTCTGTTTTGCTCACCATCTTCTCCTCGCCAATTCACCAAATTGACTCTGTATGTATCTACGTCTGTGTCCCTCAATGCGTCTATGTGCGCGTGTTTTGAAGTGTTTGGTTTATCAGCGGCCGGCTTTTGGATCTCTTATTGGAAGAAGTGAAAGAGAGACGCACTTGAAAACACTCGACTTCAAACACCTCGTTGTTTTCTTTCACCAGGTAGTGTCTTATGAGCTGGATTCTGTGATTGATATTTTTTTAGGGTTAATTATAAATTGTCCCCTCCAAGCTTAAGCTATATTACGATCTTCACCATGTGGTTTCAATTTCAACAAATTGCCCCTCAAAGTTTAAATATTTCTCAATTAATTCTCTCTATTAGTTTTGGACTGCTACGAGTGATGGAATATGATCTCAATCCATTTAAAAGACAAAAGTACCCTTCATCAATTCCCTTCTCCGTCAAGCATAATAACCATGTTGTTCATCCTTCTTCAACTGCATCTGCCTGGTGTCGGACCACCTTTTCATTTTTCGCTCTGACCGTATTTCCTTCTACATCCAGCAAAAATTACTCTTCCTTCTGGCTGTCTGGCATAAGAAGCTTTCCCACCGCCAAGTTGCCTAATGCAATCCCCCTCTCTAGATTGCCCTGTTTATCTCTCTATCATACAGATTTGTGTATGTACAGATACACATATATACCTCGTTATATTCACTCCCATGAAACCACTATCTTCAAATCCACCCACATGTTCGAACACACTTTCATACACCGCCGTCGTAGGTTGTGAAATCCTCCACCTCAAAGTTCAAATCTATATATATACATACATGTGTGTGTGTGTTATTGGGCAACAAAACTAAGGTTGATATACAAGTGGTTGCCTAGCGGTGGTGGTTGCAAATCTGAGGCCGTGGTGGTTTATTCAAGGTAATCGCAAAAGAATTTCTATAGGGAAACACAACTGATGAGGAAATGGTTGTGAACTACTAATCTTAGTTATGTGTGTGCTTGTGATCAATTCATAAGTGTAATGAAGAGCGGAGGAAATATTGATAGAAAAAGACAAGTGCAAAGGAGAATTGGGATTGTTTGTGTTGGTGTGATGTTGTCTGTGTTGACTTGTGGGCTGTTGGTTTTTGTCAGTGTTGGGTTAAAGTGGAGTAAGAGGTGAAGGTGTCTGATGATATATAGGTTTTTGATTTTGGTTGGTGTTGGTTAGTGGTGGAGTAAAGATGTGGAATGGGTGATCGGATTCTAGGTGGTGTTTGTGTAGTAGTGCTCGAGAGCTTTATTTTTAGTTCTTTGAGAATATGAATTTTGTTTTTTTTTTAGACAAGAATAAAGGGGTAGTTAAGAACATTTGAGGAGTTTCTAAAGGGTAAATATGTATGTTTAATAAACTTAAGATCATGTAACTGTCCAAAACTAACAAGAAGAGTTAATTGAGAAACATTTCAACTTCGAGGGATAATTTATTGAAATTGAAATTAGAATAAGTAGATTGTAACATTACCCAAACATGGAGGAGGCAATTTGTAATTAACCTTTTTTTAAATATACAATGATTGACCTTTTGAGATAAAATAGGAGTAAAATACAAATCTACCCATACAGATAAAAATGTACTACTTAAGTTTAAATTCATGTAAAAATAGGTAAAAAAGAACTTCCAATCTTTTATTCAAATACATATCAAATAGAGGAAGACATAAATTTTTATTCAAATTAAGACAGACTTAAATATTTACTCAAATCTCTAGTGGTCATATTTTACTCTCCTTTACACATCTAATGCTCATATGTCGCAGTAAAACCCGAAAAAATTAAAACTTAGTTAAAAAGGACAAAACAGTGATTAGTCGTTATGGTACGAGTTGAAAACTTAAATTTTTTTAGAACTCAGATGACAAAATGGACCTCACCGTTGGATTCGTATTACAAAATCTAATTACCCAGTTAATTTTTGTTGAATTCCAATATAATCATATTTTTTACATTTTACGATGCGATTGAGTGTCGTAGTCTAAAATAACGTAAATAGGTTTTAATCACGGGACCCAAAAAATAATTTAAAGTTAGGTCAATAAAAAAATACTAAACTTAATAAGGAACGAGATTTAATTGATTCGAAATAAAATTGTACAAGATAAATTGGGACGTATAGCGCAACGAGAAACAAGCATTTAAAAGATATTTAAAAGGGGGGAATTTTGATATTTCGCACATTCTTTGGCCTACATTTTCGAGAGAGAGAGAGAGAGTGGAGAAGTCTTCAAGCCTCCTCCATCTTTCTTCTTAGATCTGCAAAGATCCAATCATTGGATTGCTTTGAGCCAAAACTCAAAGTTGCTCTACGCAACTATACTAAAGATCGCACTTTTGTCCAAAATCTCAAAGAGGAAAATTTAGGACTAAAGCTTGAAAAGATTGATTTAAGGTTCTTAGAACTTCTACTATGCAGACTTACGCTACAAAGAGATAGAGTTCTCTCCTATTTAGGTTTATTTTCAATGTAGGATTGTAATATAAAATAGGTAAGGTGTTAGATATGAATTTTCATGTATTAGCTCACACTTAGTGTAACTAGGATATGTAAAATGGATATGATAACATGCTAAAACCAATTCATACTTGATTTGGGTTTGATGAAATTGTATGGTTTGGGTTTGATAAAATAGATTGATTGGACATGCTATGTTTTTACATATTTTTGCTTACTAAGTGTTTGATAAAATGCTTATAAATTCAAGTATGTTATTTGAATTAAAATTACATTGACATGCTTGGGAATGGTTGTGAAGAATTGACATGTTTATTTTATTCTTTATGATATGATGACCATGATGATATGAAAAGCAATTATACATAACATTTGCATATACATGGGTAGCATCATATTTGTGGGCATTCGACATAAGTGTGGGTGTGTGTGCATATTTTTAATCAAATACCATTCTTGGTAGGTTGATGCGTGGGCTTGAGAAAGTTAGACTTAGGTGCAATTAAGTCGCACGGGTTTATATTGAAAATATGTGTCGGAGTTAATAAGAAGGACTAGATTCTCCCTCGGATGTAAGACCTAGTAAATTTTGGATATGCACTCTCATTGTATTGAGTCTATTAAGTGTGTCAGTGTACACGAAATTGTTGGTAGAAGTCTATAGATGTCATGTCGATTAGGTGACCGTTTGTGGAAATTTATAAATACCTAACCCAAGAAGACATTTTTTTTAAAAAAAAATTCTCATTGGATGTCTAATATCAATGGCGGAAGCTTGCAATGCCTAGATGAATACACAGGACATACCATGTGTCATGGGAGCCGGTGGTCTCGAGTTGCATTTCATGCATGAGTTCCTATCTCGTTGCATGGCATAAAATTGTAGCATTTATTTATGAAAAGTATGTGTTGAATGGATACTTGACTTGATGATTTGCATGTGATATTTCATATACATCTGGGTTGGGAGGTGATCTCCTTAGAAGATATCATATTGAGCGTAGCTCACCCTTTATGGTAATACATTTTAGGTGTTCGACAGGCTCTAGCTAACGGCCCTCACTTGGGCCCCTATTGACAAAAGAGCCGATTTGTGGCTCTAGATTTTTTGAATTGAAGACCCTTGTATAAATATTATCTTTTGGTCTTGTATATTTTGTAATACAACAATTGTATTTTGGTAAAGGATTGTATGGGTACTTTATATTTGAACATTTAATCTAATTACGAATAAATGTTATCTGAGTTTGTAGGGTTAAATGTTGAAACCTGAGAAATCTGGGCCCTAGGTATCTAGCTTCCATTGGGCGCAAGTACTGGTACTTATGCTTATAGGTACCAGTAACCAATTGCTAGTGGGCCCACGTATCGGTACTAATGAAAGTACCATTACCTGGATTTCAGAGAGCTCAGGTACCGATACTCCTTACCACAAGTACTGATACCTCTTCCCTTAATTGGATTTTTGAATTTCAACACTTCTGAGCCTTCACATCTTGAGTTCTTTTCTTCGAATAATATGAATGGTTAAATTTTAAGTCCTAGACTTTGGATGTGGACCTTGGAATGGTCATCTGAATAATGTATGCACATGTTGTGTATTGGGTAAAGCTCCCTGTAAAGCATACTCTGTTCGAATTCCATTTTGTTATGATCCTAGTGAATGGGGTGTAATGACGTGGTATTGGGTTATACGGTACTTACGGGTATTCCACGGGTTGATGGGTAATCAACGAGTTGAGAAAGGACCTCCGAATTTTAGGGCATTACAGTCGCACTCTTTTAAATTTGAATTTTTTCAATGGAGTGTCCTATTTCAAATCAAGTATTTTATTCAAATGTTAACTCAATTTTGAATAAAAATTTGAATCAAGGCTAGAGATGCCCTCCAAATCTCAATCACTAATTTTCTAAAATTTTTACTTTTAAAAAAAATTACATGTGACTTCATATTATTAGATAATATGTCATTTTGATTACTTCAAAAGAGATAAATTTGAAATAATTAGTACTTATCATCTCAATAATTTCTAACAATCAAAAAAAAAAAAAAAATTGTACGTCCTCTTTCTACGTCCCACAACTTCCCTAATTTCTCATCCACTATCTCAGTTCATCCTCCTCTCTCTTTTCTCTCTCCAAACCTTTCCTCTTCTCTGTTAGACCACATATTCTCCCTTCTTCATCTCTTCTTCATACCACCACCATGGGTCCCCCTCTCTCTCTCCCTTTCTCTCCTACAACTATTTATCTTATCGGTTGGCCTATGCGATGCACAAAATTTGTAATATTTCTTTATCGCCATAGTCATCTGTAAGACCTTGTACTAGAATTAAATAAGGATAATATCTTTTTAAGATTTCTCCTAAAATGAATAAAAGAATGGTAGAAATTTTGAATCATTGTTGAAAGAATGATCATTAAGTTTGAGTTTCGGACGCATTGACTTTCGGGTTAAACTTAGTTTCAAATATATTTAAACTTGAGAAGGTGGTTAGGTAAGTTTCTTAATATTTTTAG